TTACCAGATACAGGTAGTCCTGACTTTGGAACGCGTAAAAAAGCTTAACCACGAAAGGGGTTCTCGACAGACTAAGAACTCTCCGTTCTGCAAGCACATGGTTTACCATATTTTTGCGAACCATATCAACCTTTTTTAGTATCTTAATGGCATAAAGGTCACCGGTTGTTTTTTTTCTTGCGAGGTACACTTTGCCGAACGCGCCTCGACTAATGGGCTTAATGATTTCAAAATCTTGTATGCTAGGGATTTTCGTTTTAGCGCCCTTTTATCAGGTAAACATAATACATTAGATTGTAATTGGATGCATAATAAAGCGATCGAATATGAAAATAATGAAATAATATAATAATACAATTATAATAATAATACAGTTGACCACTCACCACTTTGTCTCCGTTAGTAATTGGCGCACCACCCGTATTACTGGAATCCTTGGTCGATGAATTATTATTACTGGCGCGGCTATTTCCTCCGCGTAAAACAGCAGCGAATAGAGAAATCAGCTTTTTACCTCCACGGGGAGCCGGTGGGTTATTATCCGAGTCTGGTAATTTAAAAAAATATATAACATTTTAAAGCTAATTCGAAGCATGAAAGAAAGACCAATTATATAAAAATTAGTGATCATACCAACTTCAGAAAGCGTCTTACCATATGATATTGAACCAGTGCTGTCCTGACGTTTGTGTGATAATGACAGATCTTTCTGTCCGCTATTCCCACGCTGACGATAGTAACTTTGTTGTTTAGACAAAAAGCTAGTTGAAGATTTACTTGACGCAGAAGTTGACAATATTCGACTTGATGTTGAAGTTGAAGTCGATTGTCTTCTATCGATTTGCTGTGGAATTTTCAATGCACCAGTTTCAATTGCAGCTGATGGCGCGGCGGCAACTGCAGCAGCAACTGCAGCAAAAGCAGCCGTTGAACCGACATTCGAGGATGCATTAGTTAAACGCAGTTTCTGGTAATAAGCACGAAGCGTATCGTTCTTTTCACGAACCTATTTTCAACATGAAGATAATACGCATTTGTTAGTAAATTACAAGAAACAAAGTAACTCAACATCACCCTTGATTAACTTACCACGTGAAGCAGCCGTTTCCCACAAGTCAATACGCTCTCGTCTCTAATCGAATTTTTTTCCATATCTTCAACTAGTCGTCCCAGCTTTGTCGCGTACTTATCACACTTTTTAAGTACATCACGATTTAAAGTGTCCTTTATATTAGCGGCCCTAATTATGACATACATTAAAAAATGAGTCTTTCATATTAAATTATTTCATCAAATTTAACCAGATAATCACTTTGAACCAATCTTCTGCATTAATTCGACGTCTTTTATACTATAGTAATCTACATATTGCTATAAAAAAAAAAAAGAATCATTATTTTTTTTTCAAAAAATACTATTTTTATAAATGAGTTAATTTAAACACCTGAATCCATACCATAATCTCCTCCATGTCGTCAACTAATCGTCGAAGTCTAACATCGCATTTCTGCAACTTAATAGCAAATTCCGTAGTAATGGCACAAGTTTCTGAATGAGCGTCTAGTTCATGGCTAGGAATCATCTCCTCACAAATACGACACAGTATATAGTCATGAGGAAAAGGAAAACCCGGTGTAGGTACAGAATTATTGCCAACATTTTGAGCCACATTATTATAATTAAAATTATTATAGTTATTATCACCTTTTAGTGATATTGATGAACTTTGACGGGACAAAGAAATTGCATTTGAGTCGTATGAGGGTGACCGGGTCTTTTCTTGTGGAGCACGGGGTAAGTTGGCGTTACGTATAGGACTATGTTGAAGCACAGAAAGGGTTGGAGACCCGGTAGGTGAAACGCTTGTCGACGACGTAGGACTATGGAACGCGTTTTTCAATGTTTTGAAGAAATTTACCATTGGTCTCGACTTTTAAATATTATGAATGGTTAATATAGGTAGTCAAACTGATATCAGGACGGAGAAAAAATTGTATAATCACTTTTTTCGCTTTCTTCTTATTGTCCGGATCAAGGTCTTCCTGTTGTTTTTTTAGGATTATATCGTAATCAATTTCTCTATTCATCTCCTCACGGAGCATTTGGTCAACCTTCTTTCTACTCCATGTAGGATGACTATCGTCGACATATGATTGTGTAGGAGGTATATATACTATCGGACTTTCGAATAGCGACTCATTCGCAGAAGTGCGTAGTAGCTCAAGGGAATCCTTAAAAGACGGGAAACGATTCATTATTGGCGGATAAGAAAGCGGGGATGAAAATGGTTTATGTGATGATAACGTGCTCGTTTTACTATCATCACTATCTATGTTAGATACTGCAGATTTACGCCGTTCTCGTTGTTGCGGGAAGTGACCCGGTGATGAATCTGAGGAGGGAGTCAAAGGAAACGAGGGTGAAGATAGAGGGGAATAAAATGACTCCGAACTTGTAGGTATATCGATCATATCCCCGGGGATTTCCAAATTACTTTCAGCAGACGAATGATTCTAGAAACAAGGAAAGAGGATTAATAAGCCATTAAATAAAAATTTCCCTTTGAAAATCCCAAAGTACCAATGCTTCAACGGCTCTTGTCACATCTGCGAAGGCATAAGTCAACTTCGTCAATAATTCCTCTGCATCAGCACTGCCCACGGCCATTTTCCTTTGTGATTCTCTGAGTTCCTGTAACTCTTTCATGATTTCAACAGCAACATTAAAATGCAACAGATCACGAACGGGAGTCTTGAGAATTCTTCGTGCAATACGATTGATACGTGTCAACAGAAGAGTATGTGACGATGCTTTTATAAAATAATCAAATAATCAAATACTTATCAGAAATTATTAAACGAATGAGCAGACCATCTCACAGGTCACAATAATTTGCTGCATCCCAATTATAAAAAAAAAAAAAGAAAAAGGTGATCATACCTAATATTGAGGGTGGCCAACTATTTGAATGTCCTAACCTCCGTTCAGAATCTTTCCTTTGAATAATAATGTTCTTTGGTTTCGAGTTTCCTTGTAAAGATACAGAAATGGAATTTCTTTTTTGAGATGCTTTAAACTGATTATCTTTTTTAAATTTACTTTCTAACGACTCGTCATCAGTATCACTTATCAAATTAGAATTATTCGTAATTCTGTTAATACTATTTCTTTCGACATTAACTGGGGTTTGTGTGTCATCGTCGTCGCTCCAACCATCATACAAGTATTCATTTAAAAGTTCTTGATATTGATGTGATTGATACCAATTTTCCAAAATATTAAAAATCTCCTTGTCAGCGCGTGATTTTGACCTTTCGAGGTCTTTTAAAAGTTTTCGTTTCACTTTTGGAAATGTAAATTCAGGCGAACGCTCGTCAATAATATGCAACCCATTTAGGTGATTTTCCTCAGCATCCACTGACAAATCGGGGAAAAATCTGTGGGTTGGTGACCTTTGAAATGAAGGTCTACGTCTTACAGGTGAAGGTGTAAAAGATGAGGGTTGTTCATCATTTGTCACATAAGCATCCGAATCTTCTAAAGAGTCGGTTTCCGAATCTGAGTAAAGAAAAGTGTTTGATGGTAGATTATTACATAATAATCGCTTTAGCTGTGAACTAGTAGTAGCTCCGCTCGGACGACGTTGATTAGGTAATTTTTGTTGAGAAACTGATGGTGGAATGGAAGGTGAAGGAGGTAAAAATTGTTGCTGGTGTGTCGTTGATTGATGTAGGAGCTGTGCATCCTCATGTTCAGACTGTGCTAGGGGGGGAGGAGTTATTGTATGTTGGCTACTACCACTACCACTACCACTACTACTGCCAGATCTACCTGACAGTACAAATAACGAACGATGTCTCTCTCGTTGATAGGTAGGATGATTTACGTTCCCGCCCAGTGAAAAGTTTGCCAGATAAGGAGAGTTCAGGGAACTGCTACTAGAAGTAGAACCAGAGTTGGGGGTTCCGGGCGTCGAATAATCAAACTCGTCGAAGGAGGACCGATTACTAATATCACTCTCGTTGGCCGGAAATAAATAATGATTCGACTGCGCTTTCGGTTTTACTGACAGACTTTTCTTGAGTAAACTTTGACTCGATGAAGTCGAAAGACTCCTTCTGGTTCTTCTCAGTTTTGCGAAATTATCTTCCATACCAGAAGCAGTAGTTTGCACAGCAGGAACCGTCAAAGTTGAAGTTGGAGTTTGAAATGTTAAGGGGGTGGTTGTTGATAAAGAGGTCGGCAGACTATTTGGAGCAATATGTTCACCCGGTAGTGAACGTGAGATAAATGGTCTTCGAGTTTCTTCTTGCATATTTTTCGGCTATGAAGTATAAGATGCTTCCTAGTGATTACTGCAAAAGAAAGTCTCTAATATTCTCGAAAGGAAATTCTGAGAAGAGCCTGGGTTTGTGAATAACGGGTATATAAGGTTTGAGAGGTTAAAAAATCGGTGGCTGAGAGAAACTTTGGGGTGTTATGTGAAGACCAAAAAGGGATGTAAATACAGTCAACAAAAAAAAAATGGGGAGGTTTTTTTAGACTTGGCGATGAAAAAAAAGTTTTTTTTTAGGTAGTGATAATTGTTTAACAAAAAAGTTTTGTACGAAAAGGTAATCTTTTTTTATAAAAAAAAGCTAGAAGAACGAAAATACACAAAAAAATAATTATAACTTGACTAACAACAGTGTGGTAAAAATTTTAGCCCCCCTCTCCCACGGCAACATTTTGGTATCAAAAAAATATTGTGGAACTTCGAGGGATGAACCGGATGTCAACAAATTAGAAGCAGGTATCTGATGTACATACGTGTGATCGATAAAAAACGAGGAAAGGGGAAATAACCACATGTATTTAAATAGAACAAATAAAGAAGGCATTTTGCTTTTTTTTTTTAACGATACTTTTGCACCTTCTGTCGACAAGCAATTTTCTTACCGGATATGTACTCATAATCATATACTTACATCTACGAGACCTGTTATCAAGAAGATTTTGTGGTCTATGCTCATTGAAAGATAATAGATATACAGTATATATCCACCTTAAAGATGGCTTCAATTGTTTCACTAAAGCGATCATGGATCCCATCCAGAAGAGTGTGTACATCATTTATAATAACAACAGTATGTATGCACTTAACTGTCGTGAAATTCACGTTAATTATCGCATATTCGTGTAAGCAACCAGTTTATCATTATGTCAACAAGTGGATTAAGTGAATACGTGTTTCATTTACCAAGTTTTTCTTGAAGTATACCAATTCTGACCATGATCTATAAACAATATAAATATCTTTTTCTAACCAAAACAAATTCCTGCTTCTGTATAATGTAATAACAATAATATACTTATATAATAGTTTTCATTCTATAAAATTTAAATATAAAAAAACACCTAATAAATAACTAATAATTTTTTTTTTATTATTATAACAAGAATTAAAAAATATAATTTAGAATTACTTCAAAAAAAACCAAAATAAATTATATTTCTAATTTTACTTATAATTTATAATAATTAATAAATAAATTTTATAAATATATATATATATACATATATTTGAAAATATAAAGAATAAGTTTACTTAATAAACTTTTTTAAATGTTATTTTAAAAAAAAAATTAATTAATTTAAATTCATTAGAAAAAATTATTAATAAAAAATTATTAAAATTATCTTAATAGATAAATTTGTTAAATAAAAAAGTATTTTATAATAAATTAATTTTTTTATAATTTTGTTATTTAATAATTTAATTAAAATTTTATATAAGTTTTTTAAATTTAATATTAAAATTAAATTTTTAAAGAATTTAAAACTTTTTTAAAATTAATTTCACAAAATAAAAAATAAAATAATTTTAATATTGTTATTTAAAATATAATAAAAAACATTTAATAATTTTTTTATAAATTGAAATTTTTTTTTTAATTTTATAATTAATTTTTTTAAAAAAATTTATTATAATAAATTAATATTTTAAAATAAATTATAAATTAAATATTGATAAAACTTTAATATATTGTTTTTTTTATTATAAATAAATTATATTAAAAATTATATAATCTTATATAAATTAAAAAAAAAAAAACTTTTTTTTAATTTTTCTCAAATATTTGAAAAATTTTTTTTTAGAAAATTTTTAAGTTATTTATTTTTTTATTTTTATTTATTTTTATTTTTTTTTATTATTTTTCTTTATTTTATAAACTTTTTTTTAATTTTTTTCTTTTCTGCTAAAGTTAGATTTTCTTTTTTCTTTAAAGATTTTCTTTTCTTTTTTTTTTTTTTTCCCTCAATCAGGTTGGTATTGTTTATTTATTAAATCAAAATAAACCATTACAAATATAGATTGTATGTATAAATTTCCCCGACCCAGCTCACCTATCTGTGACCAAAGAGTCTCTAGATGTGATTTATGGGGATGATTTATTGCTCATCCATTAATTGGAATTAAGATCCCATTTGTTTAATAGAGTCAAAGCCTGTAGATCATCTCTACAGATCATATGCCATAAACCCAGATTGAGTTTTTATTTGAGCGCTAATCATTTTTTCCCACTTTCTATGAACTCTTGTATTAGTTCTTTGACCTTGTCTAATCTATTTATATACTCTTTTATCTTGTACCTTGTCTTTTCTCCCCTTTTCTTTCTTTTGTTGTTCTGCTTATTTGGTGACTGGGTACTAATGGCACTGTTGATTTCCATGGGCCTGGAGATATGATTTTCCAAGTTGAGGTTCATGTCTAAACTAAGTTCTATCAATGGCAAAAGTGCAGGACCTTTCTTGATCTTTAGGTTCAAACCCATGATCCGATCAGTTGCTATTGTAATACTGCACCTGTATCTCCATGTCGATTTTCTGAATTGCTTAAGGAAGCTGATGGCAGTCTTGCACAACAGTTGCCGGACCTTGGATTGGGAGATCTTGGTATTTGTTCATTTGCAGAGTTCTGTGATGTGGTAATCCGATATTAGTTTGATTGCAAAGTTTAGCCTCTCATTTTTTTCCTGAAACACCTTTTGCATAAGGTATGTTGTAACTGTGCCTAGATTAGTTGTCTCTAGTGTATGTATTGAGTTTTTGCAAACTTTTTGAAGATTTCTTGTAAGCCTTTGCATGGCTTTTAACCATGCTTCACTAGTATATTCTTCCAGTCCTGAACATGTAAATAGGTGTTCTCTTGTCTTGAATTCCATGCTACAGACTCTGCAAATATTGTGAATACTGTATAGCCAGGGTTTCCTTATTTCGAGTTTGTCTAATATTGGTAGTTCATTGTGCAGCAATTTAATCCAGAAGCTTTTCTTCTTGTATTCTTTAAAAGACGTGGTTAGTCCATTAAGTTTTAGATTGCTCCAGAATTGCTTCCAGGTATAGCTCCTTTGTTGATCAATCTGTTGTCCTAGGAGCTGTCATATTCTTCCAGTTTCTGCCCAGGCTTTCACATTCACTGTCTTGTTGACTTCCTTAATAAAGTTTCTTGGGGCTGTGTCTACTACCTTATTGTGCCAGGTGGTGATGGTTTGAACATGTTTGCCACTCGATAGTTGCCATGCGATTGCTGGTAGTTGAGTTGCTTGTTTAGTGAGTTGATGTGCTTACTTGTTATATTTGTTGTCAAAATATGCTTTAACCTTATAGAGCTTAAGCTTGAGGTCTTTTTTCCTTGTAATTTCTATAATGTCTTGCCAGATTGACCAGTTATTGATTTTCAGCCATCTCTTGTAAGTCAGCTTGGGGTTGGCTTTGGAGATCATGGTGAAGGTATTGATGCAGTTTTGACTATCGGTATAAATGGTGACTTCCTTTTCTCTTGGTATTGTGAGAATCACTGTCAATATAGTGGTGGCCTCTGCTCTACATGATGATGGCCAGTCTTGAACTCCACATTGGAATCTGCTGTTGGGAATGGGCCCTTGGGTTTGAATCCATGCAGCGCTCATTTTGGTCTCTTCTTTGCTTGTTCCTCTGCTTAGCAGGAACCCGTCTGTGTAAAATTTGTATTGACAGGTTATTTGTATAATATTTGAGTGTCTTGAATACTTGTTGTTGAGCAGGGCTTTTGTAAGGTCCTCTTTGTAATCTTCTGACTTGACTGTTTTCTTGATTAGGTCTATATCCCAATCCAGTATTATGACCTCTTGGAATTTAGTTCTCTCCCTATAATCTGGTGTCATTTTGAATGCTGCTATCGCTTGTTTTTCTAGTATGTAGGAGTTGCATGGAATTCTTATTTCTGAGATTCTATTGTTGCCATGTGTTCTGTTTAGAAGGTCGCAGCCCAAGGTCCTTTTTTCTTTCACTTGAACTTTGTTTGAGCTTTC